AGCTATTTTTACCTTTAAATTCCACCCTCTCCATTTGCAGCAACACATAGCCTGTGGCTTTCAATGTTACCAATAGCACTGTAACAATTACAAAATAATCTACAGCAATATTTTTTTACTCTTTAAAAGGTTGTCGAAATCTGCATTTCAGAATGAGCCATAATACTTAAGTGAAGTGCTCTCTACCTCACATGGAAAGAGTCATTTGAACGTACACCAGCTGACAGCTGATTTTATACACTAAGAATCCCAGATTATGAATCAGATTAATAATCAGAAATTAAATATCATCTGTTATACTGATCTCTCCCAGTAACTCAAATCATCAAAGGGAAAATTTATTGCACACAGGCATGCTCAAAAGTTGATTTTAGTCTGCTTACTTGCTGACTTATTTCCAGCTTTGAGGTAACAACAAACAAAAACAAAACAAAAAAAAAAGGAAAAGTGTGCCTCATTATTTTGAGACATTTACAAAGGTAACATAACTAGATTTCACACACTTGTAAGCAAGAACTTCAATAAAGGATATTAATTTAGAATATTCAGACATTTTTATAATGTCTGACTAGTCAGACACCTTAAATCACATGAAATTCAAATTCTGAACACTGTCTACTAATCTTCCAAGGCTCATCAAATCAACTAGTGTTGATTTTCAGTTAGGTGTTGCAGAAGCATGTCTTATGACTGATTAAAAATTTGGTGAAGGTTTTTTAAAAAGGACCATCATCCAAGACCAACTTAAATACACGTTACTTACAATTGCAAAACTGGCTTCTTTGACTTAAGGAAGACCAGGTTTCCATAAAAATGCTAGAAATCTTTGAACTGAAAACTTCAAGTGCTGCTATTTAACTACACAACTATTTAAAAAAAATATTTTTAAAAAAAGATGTATTTACTCACAAGGAACCAATTCCAGGTTACCATAATCTTCACTAAACTAGAGCTACAGACAATGGTTATGTGCATGAGTCACATGAAAAAGACCCCAGTAAGAAGCAGATGTTCCACCTTCCTAATTAGTTGCTTTTAAGTGTCTTATGTTTCATTTCTTCCCATCCAGCCCTAAAGAAACCCAAGCAACTTCAGATTTGAGAAGCTAAACAAAATACGTTGGACTAAAATACAGAAGAAAGCTAACCTACAGGAGTAATATGGCTGAAGACCTGGATACAAGAAGCACAAGGCGAATTCTCAGTGCGCCACACCGAGTCTCTGAAAGCAGTATTACGTAGTGTATCAACCACCTCTTAGTTTCATCACTTTTAAGTACAGTTTTCCCCCTTGCCACATTTGCACAACACTCTGAAAGGTAGCTATTTGTCTTGTGGTTTTCCTTAGGTATTCCTGATGGTTCCAAAAATCCAAAGAAACCTAGCTATCATAGAAGCAATTAACCATGACCCAAAACACTATTAATGACTGGAATTTCTAGGAATGCAAAGTACTATAAAAACAGGATTCTAATCTTTTGGTCACCAAGGGAAATATGTAAAGTGTTAGCCACCGTGGGACATTAGACCTCCCCCTGAATCGCGTGGAATAAAATTCAGGATAAACGTTATCATAGACCTTATTCTTGCTGACCGAGTAAAGTAGATCTAAAGAAAAAAAAGAAAAAAAAAAGAAAAAAAAGACAGTTTAATCAGGCAGTGATGAATTTAAAGCCTTGTCAACAACTCCTTAAGATATGTACTTTTTAATTGAAATCATTGTTTGCATAGGGACGTACTAACACATTTCACTGTTACCCTAAAGGTCAGCAAATCCATTCTAAGTTCCTGAGGCAAGAAAACCAACAAAGCTATTTGTCCAGTTCAGATGTTTAGACTTAAACTGGATCTCTGTTACATACACATCAATAGTATTAAGTCAATAATAATAATGGATAATTGTCCTGATAAAATAACTCTGAATAGCTAGCCACGCCAAAAAAACCCCAAACTTTTTTTAAAAACAAAGTTGTATGATTTTCCTACACTAAGTTAAACTTATTCCGAGTCATACATTCTCTCACTAAGCAATTACTTTTTAAAACTTAACACTCAGAATTCCCTTCTGCCAATATTGTATTCTTCAGTGCAGTACTTTAGAACTGAATTAGTTTGCAGCCCACAAACCTTTTTAAACACCTCAGAATAATAAGCAGTTAGAAAATATTTATTGAGAGTGCACTCAACGCTCTCTCAATAGATAGCTCTTTCTATAGTATATTACTGTTAATAATATAGTAATAGAGAGTGCTTTCCATGGAGTATTAAGACTGCAGTCTCATTATGCTTCAGATTTTGTTTTTGCCTAGTCTGCTCTACAGAAATTTTCCCAATATATGCATTAGCCTGAAACCAAAGTTTATGCCTAAAGAATACACATTTCATGCTCTAAGTACATAAACACAGCACAATGAAGATCCCTGACTGACAATGGCTTCACACAAACAGAATTTCTAATCTAGTATTTATTCTATATTCCCCGTATCAACACTTCGTTTCATATCAAATACGGCTTACTTCCAGCTTGAAGACAGCTCAACATTTGAAAGCTTCGAATTAGACACAGTAGCTTTTTAATTAAAAAAAAAAAAATCACGCATTTTCCTCCAACCTGTTCTTGCAATAAGAATACAGTATTGAAATCTGAGTGCAGCCAGGCCTGGCAGCATTTCAACAACGCAGAATAGAAGTGAAAAAGATAAATTCCCGCTATGGTTTTGTCTCTGTCTATGGATGTGCAATTTAAAAACTGAAGTTATGAAGAAGAAATTAGTATGTGTGATCAGACAGACTTTGGGTTTTAATTGATTTGAGGGATCAATAAAACAAGTACAGTTTGTTAAAGATCTTTGATAAACCAGTCTTAAGCTTTATTTCTAAAAGCCAGGCCAGCCAAAGGTCTTTTGAGGGAATACAGTGTTCTTCTCCATCATAAACATTCATTTGCTCTAGTTGTCCATTTAAAGATTTTTACAACATCGTAAATTCCACTCTGTCCCTCTAAAACAACGAAAATGAGTCTACTAAAAATGGAAAATAAAATAGAAACATTTATAGGGTTAGAGAAGTACATGTGCTGACACGAGTCACAAGATTTAAAACGTAAGTTCAGGTAACATTAACAACTTTAAAAAAAATAAAAACCTAAGATTGCCGATTCCAAACCTGAAACGTTACAAGACTCTTCTCAGTGCCCCTTACGGGTATGAAATACAATCACAGGAAACTACTGAAAACTACTTATTCGGTCACGCTTTGCTTTATGCCCTTGCCTTTCAAGGATCACGCATCCTCGCGAGAGCCTCCCTTTTCGCAACTACCTGATTTTTCAGGAGAGACACCCCCCCCCCGCCCCTGCCCGCAGGGTAACAGCGCCAACGGGGGCCCGTTTTGACGGCAGCACGTCGGGCCGGTCAGAGCCAGCCGGTCGGCACAGCGTCCCACGGACACGAACTCCCGACACGCTGCCTCCCCACGCACCGCAAACCCGCCCGAGACGCGACAACCCGGCGGAAAGGGCGGGAGTCACGCGCCGGGCCGGGGAGGGGCTGCGAGCGCCCGCAGGTCGCCTCCTCGCACGGCCCAGAGCGACGGCGCAAACCCGCGGCAGCCCGGGGGGACGCCGCCGGCGGCGGCCGGGGCCGGGCTCTGGCAGGCGCCCGCAGCCGGCCCTCCGGGGCGGGGGGGGAGGCCAGGGAGCAGGGTAGCCTCCCGAAGCCAGTGTTCCCCGCCGGCTCCCCTCCCCGCTGCAGCGCCCGCTTCGGGGCCGCTCCTACCCGCTACAGCCAGAGGGAGACCTCCCGGGGAGGGACCGGCGGCCGCGCAGACCCCCGCGCCCACAGAGATGACAGGGCCCCGTCCCCTCCCCGGGCCCCGCTCCTCCAGGGCCGGGCCTGGCGGGCGAAGGGATGACACGGCGGCGGCCAAGCCGGCCACGCCGCGGGGGGACGCGCGGGGGCAGGGGAGCGGACCGGCGCACCGGCGGGGGCCGGAAGG